CTTTTTTGTGCCTGAATGACTAAATCAAAGGGTAGAGGAACGTGAAATGTAAGGTGAAGTTTACATCTAATGATTAGGGATAAGGTAGTTACCAGATAGGCGCTTTCTAGTTTAAATAGTCTAGTAAACGTTTTTATGATTGTTAGTATCAAGATATTCTCTAGATGCATGAAACAATCCTTTTAAACAATGATATTTTTGACCTGTGGTGGAATTGTAATGTTTGGAAAATTGTAGGTTTTGTCATGAAGGGAATGTAGTAAATTATGTTAATATTATTTCTTGGACTGACGATTTGTTTAGTGCTAAAGTACTTGTCTAGCATGTATGAGGGCCTATGTTCAATCCCCATTGCCGCTAAAATTTTTTTTTAAAAATGAGTTTTACTTGTTTTCACTGTTACTTAATTTGGAAATTAAATTCTTAAAGGAAAATAGGACCTTAATTACGGTATGGAAGATGAAATATATTATGTGTATGCTAGCTTTTAGTCAAAGTAAGCTAGCAAAGTTACTAGGTTTTAATTTTATTTGGAGGAATGGGCTTTTCTAAAGAGGTAATAATCTCATTTTTCTCCACTCAGGTTGCATTGACTGTAATTCCTGATAGCACAGCTGGCTGTATTTTTGGTGTCATCTGTAAGCTCCTGGATCATACCTGTGTAGTTAGTGAAAGTCTACTGCCATTTCTGGCTTCATGTTGCTACACCCTTCTTTATTTTCTGCTTACTCTAGAGAAAGGGGAACCTGAACATCTAAAGAAGAGGTAATAATTTTTTTTAACCACCTTAATACTTTTTCTTTTTTGCCTTTTTCTCCCAGGTAAATAAGCTAAGTAAGAGTGAAGAGTTCAGTTTTTGAAATAATTGTAAATTGCCTATTAGAGTTTGGGTTAGCCTAGCTAGCTTTTTCTTTTATTCTTTCATGAAGCCTCTGTATTACATTGAAAATTCTTAGTTCCTTGGTTTTCATTAAGCTAACAATTTTCAAAAGTTAGATACCTTACAAAGTTTTTTGAAAATTTATCCTGATTAACATTGCTATTGGTCTAGCAAGACAAAAAATTCTATGTGTAGCAGGATGGGCCATTAGTACAAGCCTTTGCATTTTGTTTTAGGCTTCATTAGAGCTTACCAGAGTGGAATTTTAAGTTCTTGGATTTAAGAAAACGCTGCAAAGATGCTTGTGATTTTAATGAGTCAGAACTTTGCTCCTGTGTAATGTTTGCACTAGAGGTTCTGGGTATTTTTGAAGATTGCACTTAAATTTTTTTTTTT